CCGGCCAATAGCAGCTGCGCCTGATTCCAGCCGGAAAGGCGGAGCCAAGCAGACCATGCCACCCAGCCCACGGCTCGACACTCCGCCCCTTGCGCCCCTCCCCGGGCCCCTGCAGCCCTTGGGTGGTCAGCAAGTGCCTGATGCCCAACCTGGAGGCGTGCGAGATGGAGAGCGCGGCGGTGGTGCACACGGGGGTGCGCACGCGCCGGCGCTGGCTGTGGGGGCGGCATCGGGCAAGCGCCCAGCCTTTTGACTCCTGAGGCTGTGCTGTGCTGTGTGCAGAAGGCGGAGGATTTCTTGCGGCGGGCGCAGCAGCTGAGCCGGTTTGCGGGGGGGGCGTTTGACTTCCTGTCTGGTGAGCGGCGGCGGGAGTGCTCCTCGTCAAGCAAGCTGCCAGGCCCCACACGCCGCCACTGGTCAGGTGGCCACCCGCCCCTGCCGCTGCCCCCCCACCCCGCCCTGCCTGCCCCTGCCCTGCAGTGTGCCCGCCGTACGAGCTGGTGGACTATGAGGAGATCTTCGACCTGCTGCACGCCTCGCCGCTGCTGCACGGGGTGCGGTGTGCTGTGCCGTGCTGTGCTGTGCTGTGCTGTGCTGTGTGTGATGGGGAGGCGAGGGGCCGAGGAGAGTGGCGTGGATGCCCTGGAGCCTGCCCCTCGGCGGGCTGCCGGCGCCGGCGCTGCGTGGGCATGTGGATGAGCGTGCGTGCTGCCGCAGCCTGGAAGCCGGCCCCCTGGTTCACGCCGCCCCTGTGCCACCGCTGCCCGCCCACCCTGCCGTGTGTGCAGGAGTCGATAGTGGTGGTGGAGTACCCCAAGAAGTTGGCCAGCCTGGTGCGGCAGCGGCTGGGGCCGCTGGAGAAGCTGCGGGATCGGCGGTACGGGCGCACATACATGGCCATCTACGGCCCCGCCGAGCAGGAGGATGAGGAGTAGGTAGGCGGCGGGCGGGGCGCCGCGGCGTACTGCTGTTCCGTCTGTGGACAGCACATGCCTGACGACCAGTGGTTGAATCTGCCTCCCTCTCTTGCTGTTCATTCTTCTGCTGGATGTGCTCATTGCAACGCTGGGCCACTGTGGGCATGTCCATGGGGGCTCGGGCAAAGATTCGAGGACTGTTTTTGCATCCACTTTGGGGCAGCAATTGGCGACGTACCGCGCAGCAATTACCTGCTAGTGCTGGACAAGCTGCGGGATCGGCAGTACGGGCGCACATACATGGCCATCTATGGCCCCGCCGAGCAGGGATGAGGCGTAGGGAGGCGGCGGGGGGGGCGCCGTGGCGACCACATGCTGGCGTCGACGCCGGCAGGTGACCCTTTACTGCTGTTCCATCTGTGGACAGCACAAGCCTGACGACAACCAGTTACGCAGGGGTATCTCGCACAGTTCAGTGTCTGGCACGTGGCAAAGAGCCGCCAGCAGCACCGAGGGCTGATGGGGCGGCGCCCAGCCGCCCGCATGGCGGGGGAGGTGGCAGCTCCACAGACAGCACAGATGGATGAACTGTTGGGCTGCAGTGTGCAGTTTTGGGGAGTTTTGCGGTTAATCGCACGCCTCTCCAGCCGCCTTCACCCTCGGGCGCAGCCATGCAGGCGATTGCTTGTCCCCAGGTGCTCAGGGCGGCCCTGGCCAGGCCTCTGACACGAGGGTCGCGCCAATTGGCTGCCCACATAGCGCCCTGGCCGCAGCGACAAACGGAGCGGGCGGGCGGCAGCGTTGCGGTGCGCGCTCGCAATCGCCTTGCCGACTTGCTAGCGGACATGAAGGCAGAAGATGTGGAGGAAGACAGCACAACGCCGATAGGCAAGCCGCTGGCCGCTGCCTGCCGCCTGCCGCCTGTCGCTGCCGCCCCCCGCCAGGCATCGTGGATGTCTTCGTCTGTGCTTCCCTTCTGAGCAGTGGCAGCCACCACCCCGCCACCCACACCCACCTCCCTGCCGCCGCCCGCAGTGACCAAGCTGGAGTGGCAGTCGCCGCTGGCGGTGCTGCGGTACCCCGACCCGCGCCTGCGCGCCCCCAACGCACGCATCGGCGCCTTTGACGACAGCCTGCGCAGGCTGGCTGAGGAGATGTTCGAGGTCATGTACGAGTGAGTGAGTGGGCGGCGGGGGTGGCGCATTGTGGGCGGGGCCGGGGTCGCACCTGGAGAGCCGGCGGAGGGTCGGAGCCAGAATGGCGGCAGTGCCCGCACCAGCCGGAACCGTCGCCGATGCGCTGCGCTCCCATGGCCATGGGTGCAGGGACGACGGCGTGGGCCTGGCTGCGCCCCAGGTGGGCGTCAACGTGCGGCTCATGGTGTTCAACGAGGCGGGGGAGAAGGGGGCGGGGGACGAGGTGGGGAGGCACGCGCGCGTGCTGCTGACGCTGCCCTGGCCCTGCCCTGCCTGCTGCGGGCGCGAGGGCTGCTGCGTTGGGGTGGCACCCCCCTGGCCAGGCGCTGCGCTGAGCAGGGCTGCGCGGGGCTGCCGCGGCACGGCGCTGCGTGCCTGCGCCTCGGAGCTGCAGCGCTGCAGCGCTCGCACGCACCGCCCCACCTGCCCTGACTGCCTCTCCCCGCCCGGCTGCGCCGCGCAGATCGTGCTGGTCAACCCCCAGATCATCAACCAGGGCAAGGCCAGGAACATGTTTGAGGAGGGGTGCCTGTCCTTTCCAAACATCTACGCTGACGTGGAGGTGGGGGCGGCGGCAGCGGGCGGCGGCTGTGAGAGGCCCGGGCCGGGCTGCGTGTGGGCCCGCCGCTGCCGCTGCCGCAGACCAGGGCCCGCCACGCCTGCCGCCCCTGGCCGCGCCGCCGTGCCGCCACGCCGCTGCCGCCGCCGCCGCCGCCCCGCCCCGCCGCAGCGCCCATCCAAGGTCAAGGTCAAGGCGCAGGATCTGAGCGGCAAGAAGTTCACTGTCAGCCTCATGTGCGGCGTTCACGGGGCGGCAGGGGCCGGGGCGGTCGCCACGGCCAGCGGCAAGCCGCGCTCGCCGTCCTGCATCGGAAGCGGGGGCCGCCTGCCACCTGCCCCGTACCCCCTGGCGGGCCCCCACCTGCCCCCCTGCCTGCCACCGCCGCTGCACAGGCCGACCACTCTGCACACCACACACGCAACGCGCCTGCGCTCTCCCCCGCCGCCCGCCTGTCGACCTGCCTGCCTGCCTGCCCGCCCGCCTGCAGCGGCTTCCCCGCCCGCATCTTCCAGCACGAGTATGACCATCTGGATGGACGCCTGTTCCACGACAGAATGGCGCCAGAGGTGGTGGCGGGGGTGCGGCAGCAGGTGCGGGGGGGCGGGGCGAGGGGCCGCCGCGGGGCGCGGGCCGGCAGCGGCTCGGGCCGCGCTGCGCGTGGGTGACGCCCGCTTTGGCTGCCCGGTGCCGGCGTGCTCTCATGCTGCCTGCCGCCTGCCCGC